TCAAATTATTTTAAATTCAATTGTAATTTTATTTTATTTTTATTTTTAGATTATATAATTTAGATTATTAAATTTTATGTTTATATTATTTATTATGAAATTTTAAGTTTTTATATAGGTTTTTTAGATATAAATTAAAAAATAAAATAAATATTAACTGAGTATTTATAACCTAAAAATACGAGTATTTGAATTTTTCGAATATTCAATTTGTGGGTACCCGCCTCTTACAAATCGGGACGTGAGTCGAGTTTTTATGACCTAAAATTCTAGATGCTCGGTATTTTAGATACCAAAAAATACACATATTCGGATCTAAACACCACACCACACCTACCCTGATATTCGGTCGTCACCCGCGACTGTGAAAATGTGATTATTGTTGGACTTTCGTGTATAGTAAATTAATTATTTATTGATTATTATCGTTTGTCGCTAATATTATTTTCGCAAAATGTTTCTTTTTCCTCTTTATCTTTTAAATCATTTTAGCTGAACAATAATAATTTGATACAACTTTTCGTAATATTTCTAAAAATATTTATATATTAAACCAGTAAAGTAATTTTCATGATTAAAAGAGATATTATTTTCCTAGAGGTCATAAATTCAAGTAACATTATTTGTTGAATGCATATACATTGTTAATAGTTAAAAAAATTATAAATAATATATTATAATTACTCAGACTATTAAAAAAGTTATATTATATATATATATATATATATATATATATATATATATATATATATATATATATACATGAGTATTATATTTCGTTTTTATTCATAGATGAGTAGAATTTTGAAAAAGGAGAAATATATGGGCCATATAAATGTGTTTTGAAGGTAGCGCGGCCATATGATTGGTTAAATGTTCATAGTCTGTGCCAAAAGTGAGAACACCAACTATTGGTAGCTTTTCTACTTGCAATACACTTAAATAAGGTATTGAAAGTTCAAACTCAAAGTACATTTGGGCTATGCTCCCAATAACCATTCACCAAAACTAACACATTGCCACATTGGAACCAGGGGCGCGGATGTATGAAGGGGAACATCTCTCTGTTATTTTAGAAAAAAATATTAAATTTGATTTAATGGTATAAGGAGAGGAGAAAAAAACAAATAACTTTACATATTCATTTTGTTTTTGAAAGAGATAGTATTTTGGACTCTTATATTTAAATTTTTAGTCTTGTCACTAATTAGAAGACCACTATAAATGGATGTCCCTTGTTCCCATATGTAATGGGGTAAGGGGAGGTAAGATAGTAGGCTGCCTCCATCACTAGGTTGAGAGCAACTTCCGTAGGAGACCTCCGAATTATGAAATACCCTCCATGGGACTCGATCCCACGACCTCAAGATTAAGAACCTTGTACACTACCAACTGAGCTGGATGATCATTTTATTAAAGTCTAATTGTTTTTTTAAAAGAATTGGATATGTAAATTTTTTATTTTTTCCTCGTCCCCTTAACATATTAAATTATATTTCATAATTTTTCTAAGATAATATGATGCACTTGTTCCCAGAAACTTAGTGCATCCGTATTATTTTATTGTTTATTAATTTTAATCTTTATATTTTTAGATTTTAATCCAAATAATAACAGTAAAACTCATTAAATCAAAATATATTATTAACTTCTATATTATGTGTAAGATGCAAGTTTAGTTGTTGTAACACCCACAACCCGTACTCGATCCGGATACGAGTATAAGATGTCACAATTGACTTTTTAAAACAATATTCTTACAAAATAATAGAACATTTGAACTTATATTAAGAAAATACGATAATATACTGTCATTATGTTCGTTATAACAAATTTAAAGAAAAACGTTTTTATGAATAGTACTATACTATATGAATAGTATTATGAACAGTAATGAACAGTTCTGTGAACAGTAATGAACAATACTGTGAACAGTATCGATGTTAAAAAATTTCCATAATGCTACAGGGTTATCGATATCCTGCTACAGTGTACTTATACTCTACTACAATAATTTCGGCAAAACATGTATAAAACTCATAAAAATTTAAACTTTCATCACTATAAGTTACCATTTACATAAATACGTTTAAAACATTACAAAACTCAACCATATGATTTTACAAAACTGATTAGAACATATTGGATTCAAATCTTTATTTACATGCCAACCACAATCAGTATTACAAAACACAAACTATTCAATTCTTTTCTGATCTGATCTTTGGAAAGGAGAAAATGATATGTCTTGCATAACTTTTCTCAATCTTCCTCTACTCGGAACCTACGTGTGAAACAATCACACGCTAAGTCATTGACTTAGTGAGGCATAAAATATAATAATAATAATAATGCATCTTATATACATATGAACATATAATCTAGTTATTCTATCATGTCACATATAATTCAGTGTAAATGATAATAACATGATAACATGTAATAATGTAAACACTTTTGATACCTTTTCTAAGCCCATGTACATTATTGAGAACTTTAAGGTAAGTGAGTACATTGAGGTTGTGCACTATTATGCTGTCACCATAACTCAATCAATGTCCCGAAGAACCTATCAATATGTTCCTAAGAACATAGGTAACTATCCATATGTCCGGAAAGACATAGGTAATTCTGTCCATATGTCCCGAAAGACATAGGTAATCCTGTCCATATGTCCCGAAAGACATAGGTAATACTCCATATGTCCCGAAAGACATAGGTAACCTTCGACTCTTGACATGCCAACTATACCTATACCTCTCATATCACATAACATGGACATTCTCTTTTATATCATTTCACATATTCGTATGTAGATTTCACTTTTCATATGATTTCATAATCATATGTCACTTAGCTTATAACACTTCTCTTGTGTTCATATAACATGTATATCATTGTCATCTCTTATTCACATATGTTTCTCATACATCTCATAACACATTTATATCACATATTCTTATAAGCTCATGGTTTTTATCACATATCATGTAATACTCTTATGGAATCTCATATTTTATTATCATATTTCTCATATCACATGGCTCTTAGTCATTTTTTCATATGTTCATATAGTCACCTAGTTCATTTCACACAACCTCTTATGTTCATCTTATATAACATATAAACTCCTAGTTTCTTATCCAGTATATCATATAATATACTGGTAAAATCTCATAATCACATAACATCTAACAAGTTTAGGTCATAATCCACTTAGACTTCATTCATATAATTTATACATTGTTATCATATAACTATTTATATATTCATATCATACCAAATAACATATAACCTCTATGAATTTATCCATGTGTACATGCATACATAATAGTCATGTCAACCACATATACTAACATTATCATACTATACATATACACTCACCTAGATCTCTTTGTCTTTCCCTCGATCGATCTTACTGGTCAATTGTTTCGGAACTTGTTTAGGCTCAATATCTACATAAATATAATTTCCAAGATGATTATCAGATGCTTAAACCTTGTAATTTGATACTAATAACTTAAACGAATTTACTAAACTCATAATCACCTTTTTCCTTTAGCGGGTATCGATACACTCCTTAAGGTATCGGTACCCTTATTGCATTCTGTGATTTTTCGTTCAAGAGGGTATTGGTACACATACATAGGGTACCGATACACTCTGTCCAAAACATATTTTTTCACCCGAAAATTCATCAACTCTTCACTGAATTTCCTCATACAAAGCTCTTTTCATACCACCAAACTCAACTACAACCATTTTAACTAACTTTTATCATTCCAACACTTTATTATCTCTTATATCTCATTCAAATTCTTAAAGTTAAGAATCACACCAAATTTTCCATGTTATCCAAACTTAATTCTAACACTTATAACTTCTTATTCTCCTATATGACAAATCAAATTAAATCTCAAAGTTCTTTTATCAACTCTTTTTCAGAAATTCATTTAGAAAGTTCTTATCTTTAACCTCTCATAACTTCTTCATCTTTTGATTTTAAGACAACTTAAGCTTTCCTTAAGCTTAAGTATCACTTAAGGATCAAAACCCATACTTTAAATCAACAAATCAGAAAACTTACCTTTGTTTGACTCTCTCTCACGTATGAAGAAGAAGAAGAAGAAGAAGAAGAAGAATGAAGATATTTATGGGGAAAACTCTCAACCTTATCCCCATATATATCATTATCTTATCATTTCCAAGTCAAATTACCATTTTGCCCTTTAATTCCTTTAATAATTACTAACAACCCTTCAGGAAGTATTTTGAAATAAGTCATTGAACTATTCAACTTTTCTACTTTAATCACCAAATTCTGAAGTTTTACAATTTAGTCACTAACCCATAGTTTAGGATGTTACAGTTGTTGTTCTCGAAGTTGATATTTTAAGTTTTTATAATTTAATTATATTGTTTATATATAATTTGAGTTAGAATTGAAATTTTAAAATCTTAATACATATAGATTAAAATTGATTAAATTAAAGTACATAGATTAAATTTATAATTTATGCATGATACATAGACTTATTTATTTATCAATTCTTAAAAAATTATGTTTAATAACTTAATATTGTTGAATTAAAAATAATTATATATATATATATATATATATATATTGGCTAAGTATTTGCTACACTTCGACAGAGTTTTTATCTTAATGTTATTTATTTAAATATTAATTAAAACTATATAAAAGTTTATTAAGTTTACTATAGAATATTAAATAATAATATTGAAATACATATATTTTTAGGATTATTATAACAAATTATATTTTAATTATGCTTATTTTAAAGTATATTATTTTTCTTTAATTGAAAATGCATTAGAAAATAATATTTCATAACATAAAAGTTAAGTAATATTTAAAAATATGTTATTTATATTTCCCTAATTTTTTCAGTGAATAGGTAGGCATAATAAAATATAAGTTTATAACCTTATAATTAAGTATTTTTTTAATAATATATAAAAATGAAAACATACAAATTGCTGAAAATCTAAAACTAAAAAGAAAAATCAATAAGAAAGGTGGAATCCAAGATATTTCACGTGAAGAAACAAACTTAAAAGCCACCCCCAAATAGGGAAAATGGATAAGGCGGTGGTACACGCGCCTCCACCCCTGCCGCCGTCATTTCTCCTAAATAACCCAATGGCCCATTCTTATCACCATACCCTGCTATACTACTCATCTCAGACGAAGACATCGCCATGCCGTTTTCAATCACCAGCGGTGCCAGCACCGGCCACTGGCTCATTACAGTAGCGCAATCCTCAGGCGACGTTAATGGAGATAGCGATGACGAAATGAATTCAGGATGCCATCCTTCATCTTCAGATTTCCCCGAATTACTTGAAACCGCGGCGCTTGAATAAGAAGAAGTAGAAGAAGAATAATATGACCGCGGAAGCGTCAACTTTAACCGCCGCTTTTTCTCCGCCGTGAGGTGTCCGTTCATTTCCTTTTCGATCATCATACGGGAAAGGAATTCAGGATCTTCGGCAACCTTGTGAAGAAAAACTACCATTTGTTGCGGGCGTCTCTCCGTCGTCTCTAAGCGCCTGTTCATCCCTTGCAACTCTTCTTCAAACGTCTTTTGTTCCTCTTTCAGCCTCGCTATTTCCATGGAGACATCGTCATCTCCATCAAAATCCACGGCTTTAACTTGCGTGCATCTATTTTTCCCATGCTTTCTCCTCACAACGTTCTTCAACAATTGCTTTTGGCCTCGAAGAAAACATTCATTCGCAAATTCCCAGTTATCTGGATCCACCTTCCGAAAACCCTAATCATCAAACAAATCATCAGCTTAAAAGCATTCCATATAATACATATTCAGTTGAAATTTAGAACATACATAAGTATTAAGCTGGCGAACGAAGCTGGAAAAATTGCTATGTTTGAAGTAAAAAGGCAAGATCTTGTTGGAGAAGTCCAAAGGATCGATGACTAAGAAACTGTTATTAGCTTTGCCCCAAGTGATAAGACCGTCTGTCTTCGGATCATTAACCATCTGATAAGTTTTGGCCACGAACGGCGCAACGTCGTTACCCTCCATAATCAAACATGCAAGACCAAAGGCACAATCTCAATTTTTTTTCCCTCGCCTTTTACCTTTGGTTGTTTTTCTTCATATATAAAAATGAAGATCCAACAGAGGTTTGAGGTATTACTGTATAAGTGATATTATATAAAGAGATTTGGACCAAATTGGTACAATAAAAAATTATAGCTTTATTTGATTAAATTTATCCGTATTTAAATTGTTATATATATATATATATATATATATATATATATATATTTTAAAGGATGCATTTATTAAATATTTAGTTTAATTAATACATTTTAATATTTAAATAAGTGATATGATAATTTTTTAAGGTAAACTATATGTTTAGTACCTTAATAATAACTTTTGTTTTGTTTTGATCATCCAACTATTTGCTTTCAAAATCATGTGTAACGTTTTAGTTTTATTTTGGTCACTCACGGTTAAAAAAATTAACATAACTGCTAACATGGTGTTTTGTATTTTTCTAATGATGAAGTGGCATAACCTTATGATGACATGTCAGCATCATCGTTAGTTTTTTAACAACTGATGATCAAAATGAAACCAAAACTAAATATTAACTATGATTTTAAAAAATATAGTTTGATAACTAAAACGAAATACAAATGATAAATGAGATACTAAATGTAGAATTTATCCTCTTTCGTTGAGGAGAGAAGGATATGACATTTTTTAAGTGTCACGTGACGTGGGATCCACATGGGTTATCTTTTTATCATGTTTCGGTACACGTCATGGTTCTAATCGAGTTGGATATTTTTGAATCGTATTAGGATGTGTTTCCCATACGCGCGTGTTATGGGTTTGTTTCAACGCGTCTAAGTTAATGTGTTCCTTCTTGTAAAACATAATTGGGATCTATGTTAAAAAAAGGGCTTAAAACGTTGAATCCATTAAATTTATATTTGCTTAAATATTCAAATTGGAACTAATTTTTAGAGGCTATTAACGTGAAAGATTAATTTAAAAAAAAAGAGATCAAATCAAATAATATCTTAAGAAAGTGCATACATTGATATGTCAATATAAGTACAATCAAAGTGAATGAATAATTTAATACGCACATAAAGAGTTTATATAAAAATTAAAGATACTTTTATAAATAATGGATTAAATATTTATTAAAAACTTTGACAATAAGATTATTTAAATCCCACATTATTTAAATATTATTTTTTTAATTATTTAAATATAAACTTTTAAACATGTATTTTTTGATTGATCGAAGACAATGTCTAAACATGTGTGTTATTGTCACTATTTGACTTAGTTTATTTTCGTTTAAACACGTGTCATGAGTGTTTATTTTTTTGGATAAAATTTCTAATAGTTTATTTTCTTTTTTCATTTTAACCCTTTTCTTCATTTCTTTCATTTTGGTTACTTTTTCCTTCTTTTCATTTTGAATCTTAAATTAAAAAAATAGAAAATAAGTCATTATCCTTGAACAAACATAAATCAATATCATTTCACTAATGTTTGTTTTCCAACGGCAATATTGCTATCAGCATCTTTAGGTGTTGGAAAATCTCAACAATTGCTGAATTATTTTGCCAAACCCTAGACTAGGTTATAAATTAGGAGTGTGTCCTATTTGATTCAGTTTTTTTTATTATACTTTACGATTTTCTAAAATTAAAACTGAAATCAAAATCGAATCGCATAAAAATCATGGTTTTTGGCTTGATTCGGTTTTACGATTTTTTGTTCATTATTTTTCAAACTCAACATTCAAATAAAGCAAACTTAAAGCTTAAACCTAGTGCAAACATACAATTTTAAATTCATAAAAAACATTATTAATTTTAAGATTTTATTTATTTAAGTTTGTCTTGTAATAAATTCAAAATAAATTTGTTTTGGATAATTTTCTTTTTTTAATTCGGTTTGATTTAAAACAAACGATTTTCATATGAAAAATTCAAAACCGATCTAAATTATAAAATTATATTTTTAAACAGAACTGAAACCAAACCTCAAAATAAAAATTCTAAATCAATTAAATTATATAATCCAATTCGGATTGTTTTTATATTTTATTGCTCAGCCCTAGTTATAATAGTTTTCAATGAACATATATCCGATGACACTGAAAGGCTTTGGTTTGGTCTTCCATGCAGATCTTTTGGTGTATTCGTATATTTATATATATATTAATTAAGTTTTTTCCATCTAATTCTAATTATTTTCGTGTTATCCAAAATTATCAAGTTTCCCGAACACTTTGCAGACATGTTTTAACATTTTGGGTTGGACTTCACCCAGAAAAGAGCCCAAGTTCGTCTTGGTCCGAATACATGGACCAAAAAAAAAAACAGCCAGCCACGGCTAGGAAATAGAAAAGGAGTAACAAATAAATTTCCGTTATTATCAATAACTAATTGATCTGGTGGACGAGGTACTACATTTTTTTAAGTAAAGTCAAGAGTTTGAACTTTGACGTTTGTGTAATGAATATGTACAAAACTCGATTTGAATTAATTAGTCAATGATCGAATTATCAATTGCCTGAAGACATTAAAACGTTGTATTCTTTTAAACGTTTCCGGAAATGAGCCAAGCGGGTCTGTAGTTGTAGAATTCCTGTAGCCTTTTATGATAGAATGGTATCTAATTTAGTGACATAGCTATCCAACTGATTGCCTGGTTGCTCAACTTCAACTAGCAGATTCATTTCCTGCAACCATTGGCAACAATAAGAACTATGTTACTCGAACTCGGATTTTTAAAATAAGGGTTAAGAGAAAAAAACATAGTGCTTTACCTCCCGAGCAATCTCTGTTGTGTGCTCCAATTGCCTCCGATGAGCAGATACGAGGTCTTCCTCTTCCTAGTAATAAACAAGATGAATTGCATTTTCAGAATTTAATACGATTACGAAAGATAATTTGAATTGATTGTACCTTCAACAGGGCATTGAGATCATCATCTGAATGAGAATTTTTATCATCAAAAGTTGAAGAATCCATGGCCATTCCTTTCAGACCACCTGTGTGACCCTTGTAATAATCTGAATACTCTACAACCAAATTTCCTTCTGCCCTTCCACTTTAAAAGGGGGAGACGCATCTCTTTCGATCTGGTCTGTCCATCCATGTCTGTTCTTTTCGAGAGGAACAACGGTTAAAATGTCCTCAAAGGTATCGGTTGATAAAGATGAAGCCAAGGGCAATGCGGTTGATTCCCTAAGATTCGAAGATGAAGACAGCGTATCCCTCTTGGAGTTGTTCCCTTTCGATAGGCTCTTCACCCTGGAATGCAAGTATACACGGCATTATTCAAACAAATGCACATGTTATGTCCACGATTCGATTTTATTTACAGAACCACGCACCTATCGGCATATCTGAGTGTATTCAGGGTATGTTCGCATGACCCTGAGCTTGGTGAAATACACGATATCATAACAGTACGCGAGTCACCGACAAATGAATCTCTTAGAACTTCAGTCAGCTTACTTCCTCTGAAAGACCCTTGTTATTGTCAAGAGCTCTGATGCATTCTTTTAAAACAAGTAAATTTTATTAATTTCAGCACCTTCCATTCTGCAGATAAACAAAATCCGCTCGTTATGATTTATTTAGTTGCTGCTTGACTGCACGAGGCGAAACGTTTCGTACCTCGTCTGTTTGTCGTTGTCAGTTGTATCTGCACCACGCTCACTCCCAGCAAGGTCTATAAAGGAAAGCTTCCCAACAAGTCTAGCAGGCTTTGTTTCAGTGCCATCAGCTGATCTCTTGATGGTAAGCTGAAGAATTGCATGAGACCTCGAGGATTCTTCATTTGCTCCAGTAGTGCCAGTGCTTCTGGTCGCATTTCCTCTCTCAATTAACTCCTTGATTGTCACAACATCTAATACCTTGTACTCTTGCAAACCCACTATACATACTTGCTGTTTACCATCTTCTCTCATGAAAAGCTTTCTGCAAAAGTAGAATTCTAATCAGTAATCAGGGAAATATGAACCATAGGTTTCCCAATACATTTAAATGTAACTTACTTCCGATCATTAAGGAGATCAAAGACTTTCCCCCCATATATCTCAAAGAAACTGACAGAGTTGGAAACCTTGGTTCCGATACGAATGGCGCATTAGTCTTAATATATCTTGAGCTGCTTTTAGAGGCAGTGGCTGCATTGTATATGTCTTTCCACTTCCTGTAACCTCACCCCAAAAAAAATCAACTAAAGTTCATTTGCAAGAACGTGACTTTCGAATATAGGAAAGCTACTTTACCTTGCCCGTATGCAAAACAAGTTGCTTTTGTTCTATTGAAAATTAGCCGAACTACCGGTTCCACAGTCTGGGAATACACCTAGAGCAATAGGAAATGTAATTATGTACCAAACTGCACTTTTTAAACTGTACTTTTTAAAATACTACAGCTCTTTTTATTTTTCAAAAGTAATACCATATCGGCTACATTAATAGATATCCACGTCCAGTATATACTCACTTCCTCATTGCCAACACCTTCATTCAGGACAGCATCAGAAAGAAATTCATGCTTCTCCACATATTCTGTAAGGTCAACCTGCAGGTAATAAATAATTAGATCTCAGAAGCAAAGAAACTGCTTCTAGCTTAAATAATTAACCATGGAATGGAAGATCTAAGGTGCTACAGCCGGTGGAGATTATCATGAGTTGCAGAGGCTTTCAAATAATAAGCCACTATGGGTTTTCCATGAAAATCAAAGCAAAGAGCAATTGACTTTGTTTCTGATTTTAAACAAGTAATCTCTTCAAAATGCCATAGCATGAGATTTGTGGGTCATGAGTAGGGATATAGATATGACTTTGGGTGCGAACTTAGAAATTTATATTAAAAATTTAGAAAGTTCAAAATTACAAAATTTTAAGAGATATGAAATTAAATTATTAATAAAATTAAAAAATATTTAAAATATATAAGAAATTAAAATTTCGAAGAATGCGAGCAACAACAACCGCAGGAAAAAGAGAAGCCCTGACAACTACTAACCTTTAGTTTTTTTTTTCATGAACCGTTAGTGCATTGGAATTTGACTGTATAGTAATAATATTTCTTCTTTCTTTGCCATTTCCTTTT